TGCGGACCACTCCTATCTCAGCACATTTTGTTACACTGCTTCAGGAAAGGTTTGAATAGAGAGACAGGAAATCTCCAAATTAACCATGTGTTAATGTGTGAACTTGGTTCATCGCTCACAGTTCACATGTCTCTCACGTTACCAGGTAAGACCACGGAGGAAGCAGGAAGCATACACTGGAGGGCTCTCAGACCTGTCCCAGCTCATTTGAATGAAACACTGAAAACAGGCATTGGCGCTCTAGGACCAAGGTCCATAAGTTTAGTACCTATGTCTTCTATGTAATTTATTGCTTCAGGTCTTATATTTAGGTATTTGATCTTTTTTTTTTTTTAATCCTCACCCGAGAACATTTTTGCATTTATCTTCAGATAGATTAGGAGGGAGAGAGGGAGGAAGAGAGAGAAACATTGATGTGAGATAGACACATCAATTGGCTGCTACCCACAATGGCCCCAACCAGGGCTGGGGACAAACTGCAACTGAGGTACGTGCCCTTAGCGGGCACGGAACCCGGGTCTCTCTGGTCCACGGGCCAACGCTCTAACCGCTGAGCCAAACCAGCCAGGGTGGTATTTGATCCATTTTGAGTTAACTTTTGCATGTGGCTTTCCAATTTCCCCAGCACCATTTATTGAAGAGGCTTTCTTTTCTCCATGGTATGTTTTTGGCTCCTTTGTTGAAAATTATTTGCCCATGTACACAGGGTTTATTTATGGGCTGTCAATTCTGTTCCATTGGTTTGTGTGTCTGTTTTTCTGCCAATACCATGCTGTTTTGATGATCACTGCTGTGTAGTAATGATGTGAAGTCAGGGAGTGTGATACCTCCAGCTTCATCCCTTTTTTCTCAGGATTGCTTTGGCTATTTGGGATCTTTGGTGGTTCTACACATTTAATTATTTTTATTCTATTTCTTTAAAAAAATGTCAGTGGGCCCTGGCCAGTTTTCTCAGTGGTTAGAGCATTGGCCTGTGGACCAAAGAGTTGCAGGTTTTATTCTGGGCAAGGGCACATATCTCGGTTGCGGATTGGTCCCCGGCCATGGTCAGGGACATGCGGGAGGCAACCAGTCGGTGTGTCTCTCTCCCTCTTTCTCTCTCTTCCCCTCTCTACTACTTTATCTGAAAATCAATGGAAAAATATCCTCAGGTGAGCATTAAAAAAAATTGTCAGTGGGATTTTTGATGGGGATTGCATTAAATCTGTATATGGACATTTTATGTTGATTCTTCCAATCTATGAACATAAAATATCTTTCCATTTCATTGTGTCTTTTAAAAATTTTTTTCAATAATGCTTTGTGGTTTTCAGTATATAAGTCCTTCACATCCTTTGTTAAGTTTATTCCTAGGTATTTTATGCTTTGTGTTGCAATTGCAAAAGAAATTGTTTTTCTTTTTTTCATTTCTTTTTCTGAAATATCATTGTTAATATATAGGCATGTAGTGGATTTTTGTACATTGATTTTGTATCCTGCAACTTTAGTGTATTTATTTACTGTTTCTAACAGTTTTTTGTTGGAATCTTTAGCATTTTCTATATAAAGAATTTGACCCCAAAGGCAAGGGAGGTAAAGGCAAAAATAAATGAACGGGACTGTATCAAACTAAAAAGCTTCTGCACAGCAAAAGAAACCAACAACAAACAAAAAAAGCAACCAACTGAATGGGATAAGATGTTTGCAAACAGCAGCTCTGACCAAGGGGTAAATATCCAAAATATATAGAGAACTCCTACAACTCAACACCAAACAAGCAAATAATCCAGTTAAAAACGAGCAGAGGACCTGAACAGGCACCTCCACCAAGAAAACACAAATAGCCAACAGATATATGAAAAGATGCTCAACTTTCAGCTACTAGGGAAATGAAAATCAAAACTACGATGAGATACCACCTCATACCTGTTATAATAGCTATTACGAACAAGACAAGTAATAAGAAGTGATGGAGAAGTCTTGGAGAAAAAAGGAACCCTCGTTTACTGCTGGCAGGAATGTAAACTGGTACAGCCACTATGGAAAACAGTATGGAGGTTCCTTGAAAGATTAAGAATAAGTTACCATATGATCCAGCAACTCTTCTTCTCAGTATTTACCCCCAAAATTTGAGAACACTTATTCCCAAAGACATATGCACCCCCCATGTTCACTGCAGCATTATAGCCATAAGAAAAGATGAAATACTGCCGTTTGCCACAACGTGGATGGACCTTGAGAATATCATGCTAAACGAAATAAGTGAGATAGAAAAAGTTAAGAACCATATGATTTCACTCACATGTGACATATAAAACTGAAAGCAACAGGTTAAGAAACAAGAAAAACAAACAAAACTATAGACACAGACAACAATGGTGGTTACCAGAGGGAATGGGGCTGGGGGTAGTAAAGGGTAAAGGGTGTCAACTATATGGTGATGGATGATTTGACTTTGGGTGGTGGGCACACAATGCAATATGAAGATTATGTATCACAGAAATGTGCACTTGAAACCTTTCTACTCTTATTAACAATTGTCACCCCAATAAATTTAATTTAAAAAAAAAAAAAAAAAAGAACAGGCATTGGCTGAGCTGCCCTGGGCAAAAGGGCATATGATTACTCTACCTAGCTCAGTCCTCAGACCTCTTCTGTTCTCTAACTACATTTGCTCCCTTAGTGACTCCATTCAATCTTGTGGTTTTTAACACTGGGGTCTTCTAACTTTACATCTTCATCCCAGCCCTCTCCCCTAAACTCCAGCCCAAAGATCCACCTGTCTACTTTGACATCTCCCCTTGGTTGTCGCATCGACATTCACTCAACCCAAAACTGAAGTGTTTTCCCCCCTCCCCACCAAGAGGTCCCTAGATTTCCCTCTCTGTTAGTGCTGACTCCATCATTCCAGTTGCTCAGGGGAAAAACTTCACTCTCTTATATTATACCCCCACATCTGATTTATCAGGAACTCACATTTCCTCTACTTTAAAAACATACCCAGCATCCTACACTTCTCACCATTTCCTCAGTCACCAGATCCAAGTCACTATCATTTCCTTCTTGATTATTAGAACAGCCTCCTATCTAGTCTCCCTGCTTCTGCCCTTGCTCCTCTAAAACCTGTTTTCAATTCAACAGCCAGAGAGCTACTTTTAAAACATGTCTGATCAGCCTCGCTGGTGTGGCTCAGTGGATTGAGCATCATCCCATGGACTGAGAGGTCCTGGTTCCATTCCCAGTCAGGGCACATGCCTGGGTTCTGGGCTCGATCGCCAAAAGGGGTCGTGCAGGTGGCAGCCAATCGATGTTTCTCTCTCCCATGGATATTTCTATCTCTCTCTCCCTTCCTCTCTCTCTAAAAAAATCAATAAAAACAAATTAAAAAAAAAAATCATGTCAGATCATATGACACCTCTTCTCAAAACCCCAGTCACTTAGATTAAAAAGCCGTTACAGCCCTAGCTGGTTTGGCTCAGCGGTTAGAGCATTGGCCTGCGGTCCAAAGGGACCCGGTTTGGTTCCCGCTAAGGGCACGTACCTCTGTTGCAGTTTGTCCCCAGCCCTGGTTGGGTCGTGTGGGTAGCAACCATTCGATGTGTCCCTTTCACATCGATGTTTCTCTCTCTCCCTCCCTCCCTCCCACTCTATCTGAACAAAGTATCAAAAAAATATCCTCGGGTGAGGATAAAAAAATAAATTAAAAAAAAAAAAAGCCATTACAACTGGGCCAGTGTGGCTCAGTGGTTGAGCGTTGACCCATGCACCAAGAGGTCACTGGTTCAATTTCCGGTCAGGGCACACGCTCAGGTTGTAAGCCCAATCCCTAGTTGGGGGCATGCGGGAGGTAGCCAATCGATGTTCTTTCTCATAGATGTTTCTCTCTCTCTCTCTCTCTCCCTCTCCCTTCCTCTCTCTCAAAAAGTCAATAAAGAAAAAATAAAAAAGCCATTACAGTCCTTTCAGTGGACCTGTGAGATATGGCCGCCCCTAAACATTCTGACCTCATTTCCTCCTACTACCCTCCTCACTCATTCTGTGCCCTGAGAATCCACACGTGGCACTCCTGTACCCAGCATGGCCTTTACCCTCGGCATTTTCTCTCCCAGCAAAGCCCCTGCTCGCCCTGGCGTGTCCTGCCAGGCTCTTCTTGGACCCTCTGTTCACAGCAGCAGCATTCTCTTTCTTCCCTGATCTCCCCCAACTCCCTTTCCATATTTCATTTTTCTCCATCTTTATACAAATATTCTTGTTTCAGAGTATAATATACATGCAGGAAAATGTACATATCATAAGAGGACAGCCTGATGACTTTTCACAAACAAAACACACCCATGGACCCAGAACCCAGATCAAGAAACTGCATGTTCTCGGCATCCCAGAAGGCTCCTCTCCTGCGCTCTTCCAGTCACTACTGCCCTCCCGCCAACCCTGCCAAGTAACTACTGTCCCCACTTTTTTAACAGTACACACTAGTTTTCCCTATTTTTGCACTTTCTGTAAATGGGGTCATACAGTATGGCCTCTTGCTCTCAACATTATATCTGGGAGGTTCATCCAAATCAGTGCATGTGGGTGGTTACAGGCCTTTCGCTTTCATTGCTTTAAGCATTTCACTGAGTGAATGTATCCTCCACTGGTGATGTGGGCAGTTTGCAGTTTGGGACTATCACATGTTTTTTGATGAATACCTATTATGTCTTTCTGTTGGTAATTCATGATATTTGTAACTTTTTTGTGTATAAGGCAGGTTTTATTTTCTGTTTAGTTCACTTCTGTGTTCCCAGTGCCTAAGATAGTATCTGGCACACAGTAGGTGTTCAATAGATATTTGTTGAATAAATGAATGAATGAAATTCTTTTTCCTTCTCTTACTAATATAGTCTGAACCAATCCTTTTCTCCAAAGAACACAAAGTCACTTCTATGTCTTGTTTTAACCATGGAACCTCCAGAATGCTATGTACTGGAGAAAACGTCAACATAGACACATGCCTCTGGACAGTTGCATAAAATACTCACCACCTGGTGGATACATAATCAGTGTATGGTGGCTGTGACCTCAATTCTCTTGCAAGTCCAAAATCAGCAATTTTTACAAGTTCTGGTCCCATACAAAGCAAGTTTTCTGGTTTCATATCCCTATGGAAAAAACCTGGTAATATAAAGAGGGAAAACTAATAAATTACCATGTTTAAACATACTTATAAACAAAATAGAACTGAGCCTCTCTGTTATAACTAGGAATGTGAACTTAGGGAAAAATAAACTATGTTTATTATCTAAAAAGTGATGGGAGGTGGAGACTCTACTTTCAAAATAATTGGCAAGAAAGTTCACCCAGGCCTGACCGGTGTGGCTCAGTGGTTCAGTGTCGACCCATGCACCAAGAGGTCACCAGTTCAACTCTTGGTCAGGGCACATGCCCAGGTTGTGGGCCAAATCCCCATTAGGGGGCATGCAGTAGGCGGCCAATCGATGATCTCTCTTTGATGTTTCCATCTCTCTCTCCCTCTCCCTTCCTCTCTCTCTCAAGTCAATAAAAAAGAAACATTAATTAATTAATTTAAAAACAAACAACAAAAAGAAAAGTTCACACAGAATATAAGGTCATTAAAAATAACATGTATTTCTATTTGTGATTCCAGTAAGTTCAGGCACTGAGCTAGATACTGCCTCATTATGATCATTTCCATTAATTTGCAAAACAAACTTAAGGAGGTATTATGATCACTGTTGTGTGCCAGATGAGCAGGCTGAGGCCCAGGGAGAGGCAGCCCGACCAAAGCTTGAGGAGGGCTGCGGCATCAGGCTTAAGTCAATACCTCTGGTCTTACAGCTGCTCTATCACAGTGAGCAAGAGATTCCTTCAGTATAAGCACGTATTTGAAATGTCTATTAAACAAAAATGGAACTCTACACATTTCAACCAATTTTCCATTTAAAATTATTTTATTTAACAGCTCAGTTCTTCCCTGGTAGTTGCTTTATTGAAAACCCAATAATTATAATACTTATTTACCAATCAATATAAAAAATAAATGGTTCGTATGGAAGCTAAAAGGCAGTCCAAGGAAAACAAAGCAGAAAACTCAGGAAGAAGAAAAACATGAAAGCCCTCCTTGCAAATTTCTACAGGAGATTTAAAGCACACTGCGTGTACACAGATGGCTTGTATTCTAATGACCTTGCAAGGTGGTCATCGGTTGTACTGATCATCATGAGAGGGTTTTCATGTAGCTTTGGGCTAGGAAGACTGTCTAAGCCTAAACTCTCTTAATTCTTTCAAAGCCAGTGTGGGCTCTATATGTGAACTCAGTTTACCTGGTACTTCTTACTCAAAATAGCTGTTAGGATCCATTTCACTAACTTCCAAGAGAAATACATTGCATTTTTATAATATGAAGACAGGAAGGGGAACACATGTGATGATAAAGTGACATTAATCCATAAAATCTTAGAATTAAACCAATTACATATTTGTACAGTTGAAATTTTCCTCATCCTCACTAATATAAATATATGGGAAACTTGGTCCTATTTTAACTAAAATATTAGTCTCGATTTATTTTACAGCTACTATTTTAAAAATATTACATCTGACATGGAAGTAGGGAACAGACTGACAATCCTCAGAGAGATGGGGGGTAGGAGGGGTGGAAAGAGATAAACCAAAGAACTTATATGCATATTTGCACAGCCGATCAACATGGACACTCGGCTGGGGAAGGCCGGAGGGGGCTGGGAGCAGGAAGGAGGAGGTCAATGGGAAAAAAGGGGGGCATCTGTAATACTTCCAACAATAAAAAAAATACCACATCTAAGATGTTTATCAACTACAGCAAATAAAGTTTTGTAAAAATGTCTATTGTTTTTAGTCCAGTTTCCCAAATCACTGTGTAGGTAATTATGTCACTAACTCCAGATTATTCATGTTATTTACTTTCAGCAGAAATTTAAAAAAATTTTTTTTTTCCTTTTTTGATGTTAGAGAGAGAGGAAGGGAGAGGGAAAGAGAGACAGAAATATCAATGAGAGAGAACATCGATTGGCCACCTCCTGCATGTCCCCTACTGGGGATCAGGCCCACAACCTGGGCATATGTCGATGCTCAACCACTGAGCCACACCAGCCATACTCAGCAGAAATTTTAAAATCCCAAACTAACTTCCTTCAATCCTTCGTGCTCTGAAGTTGCTGATAGTTGATATACATCTAAGGAAACTAAAACAATTTTATTACTAGCCTGAAAATTATCAATAAAACACAAATATCAAATAACTCATGAAGCTTCTGATTTCCCACACAATACTTGCTTCATTAGCATAAAGTAAATCAAGCAAATATCAAGAGTTACCATCCAGAGCAGTTTCAATGACGTTATATATTCACTCAGTTTTATATTTTGGGCTGAAGATCATGAACAATTAAAACAGCATGAATTTTGCCCTGGCCGGTTTGGCTCAGCGGTTAGAGCGTCGGCCTGCGGTCCTGAGAGACCCGGGTTCGGTTCCCGCTAAGGGCATGTACCTCGGTTGCAGTTTGTCCCCGGCCCTGGTCGGTTGTGCGGGTGGCAGCTACTCGATGTGTCCCTTTCACATCGATGTTTCTCTCTCTCTCTCTGTTCCTCTCTCCCCCCCTCCCCCACTCTACCTGAACAAAAAATGGAAAAAGTCCTTGGGTGAGGATAAAAAAATAAAAAAATAAAACAGCATGCATTTTTAATTACCATGTAATTAACAAATGATTGACTTTGACCAAAGGGTTGTAGTATGTTACCATGGGTTTAGACTTTCAATGACCTTAACAGCTTATATAAGAAAAACAACTAGATATTCAGGCATGTTCTCACAGTGCTTCTGTGGAATTTTGCATAGCATTTTTAGAAAATAAATTATTTCCTATAGCAGTTACAGGAGAAGAGAAAATATAAAATATGGATGAAACATGAACGCAGACTAAAGATGGTGTTTTTTGAGTGCCTATGTTCAGAATGCAGCAGTGGTACAGCAGAAACTCTTCGAATTTAGTATCTAAACATCTAGTGATTCTAAACAAATGTTCGCTAACATTTTTTATAATAACCATACTAACTTTTTGGACTAATTATTTTGGTTTGATAGAAATGCAAAAACCTATATAAATTAAGATTACATAAATAAAGAATTCATAAAAATAAGAACAATCACTTGCTTTAATTTCATTTAAAGAACAGAAACAACTAAATGTAAATACCAAGGGAAACTATAAAATATCATAGCATGGGTGATTTAAACTACTTAAATATGAACAATTGGTCTTGGGAGATCCAAGCATTCCCATCTTTTCCAAAACACGGGTCTTACATATTTATTTTTTTCAATTTCATGGTAAAAATAGGGCAAATGAGGTTGTAGGATGGGCTTATAATGACTGAGATTAAAAGCTGATGATGATCAAACTGTTAAAAAATTCTGCTATAGAGGAAAGATAGTTACAGATAATAGAAATTTTATTTTAGTCTTGGCCAGTGTGGTTCAGTTGGTGGAGTGTTATCCAATTCCTGGTCAAAGGGCACATGCTCGGGTTGTAGGTTCAATTCCGATCCCTGGTGAGGGGTGTGCACATGGAGGCAGCCAATAGAAAGTGTGCTCTCACACTGATGTTTCTCTCTCTCTCTCTCCCCTTTCCTCTCTCTCTAATAATCAATAAACTATTTAAAATTTTTTAATTTTATATAGAATGATGAAAATTCTAAATTTATTAAACAAAAATATCAATGTGTAGGTACAGACTCCAAACTTGCAGTTATCCAAATATAACATTATTTAACAATATATATACAATTCCTGTGCATGATCTTGACAATAACTAAAGAGGCAGAGATATGAAACTTAAAAGAAACCTACCATGTTTATGGATAAATGCCAGCCCTTGCAATATCTGATACATAATATTTCTGATGACTGACTCAGGGAACAACTTGTTTCTGTGAAGAAATGAACAAATAAATGGTCATATACTCTGCTAACCAACTAACCAAAAGAAATAAGAAGGTTCCTCCTCCCTTGGAGCCCCTATTGGCCTCATGATACTAGGTAAAGATATGATTTATAGTTTCACAATTTCATAATGCTAAAGGTCATAATTTTTTTTTTTCCCATTTTTTGTTCAGATAGAGTGGGAGGGAGAAAGAGGAAGAGAGAGAGAGAAACATCGACGTGAAAGGGACACATCGAGTGGCTGCCACCCGCACGACCAACCAGGGCCAGGGACAAACTGCAACCGAGGCACATGCCCTTAGCGGGAACCGAACCCGGGTCTCTCTGGACCACAGGCCAACGCTCTAATCGCTGAACCAAACCGGCCAGGGCTAAAGGTCATAAATTTAAAAAGTGAAAATTAGAATTGTTTTTGTTTTGCTGGGCGGTAAAACTCTAATAGCTAAATTCTAACCTGTCCCAAGAGGAGCAAAGTTAATTGGAAAACTAATAACTGTCAGATAAGCCAAGTGTGCAAATCTGCACTATATAAGCAGACTTTTAGAGTTTCAAGGGTATAACTGCTTCAGTTCTACACTGTGCATTGGTACTGTCCAATAAAAATATAACAAGCCAGCCCTGGCTAGTTTGGCTCAGCAGTTAGAACATTGGCCCACAGACCAAAGTGTCCCGGGTTCTATTCCAGCCAAGGGCATGTACTTCTGTTGTGGTTCATTGCCGGCCCTGGTTGGGGTCATGTGGGTAGCAACCAACTGATGTGTCTCTCTGACATCGTTTCTCTCTCTCTCTCTCTCTCCCCCTCCTCCCTCCCACTCTGTCTGAAGATAAATGTAAAAATATCCTTGGGTGAGATTAAAAAAAAATACACACACACACACACACACACACACACACACATATACATATACATATACATATATGCCAAGCCAGCCCTAGCAGGTTTGGCTCAGCAGTTAGAGCATTGGCCCACAAACCAAAGAGTCATGGGTTCAATTCCAGTCAAGGGCACGTAGTTTGGTTGTGGTTTGTCTCCGGCCCTGGTCAGGGTCCTGAGGAAGGCAACCAATCGATGTGTCTCTCTCACATCGATGTTTCTCTCTCTCTCCTACTCTGTCTGGAGGTAAAAAAAAAGAAAAAAAGGAAAACTATCCTCTGGTGAGGATTAAAAAAAATACACACACCCTTACACACCAAGCCACAAATGAGAACCACTTATATGTTCAACAATGTTTTATTTAACCCAATTTACACAAAATATTATTTTAACATAAAAGGCCAATCAGTATTTAAAAATTACAAATGAATTTACATTCTTTATTTTCTGTATCAAGTTTTCAAAATCTGATGTGTAATTTATTGTACATTTATAGCTTAATCCAGACTAGCCACACTTCAAAATGGCCACATGTGACCCATAACTACTGCATTGGACAGTGCAGTTTATATGGTATTTCAAGGCTCAAAGTAAGATCCAAATAAAGGCTAAATTAAGGCTGACACATATTAGTTAACAGCATGCCACAAATTAATGTGATTGACATTCATTCTCTGACACTGAATTAATTCTTTTTTTACCCTGAAACCATGCTATGTTTTAGAAGTAATCATTTTAATTTTTTCAACTTTATCAAAATTTCAACATTTTCCAACATCTTTATTTCAGCATGATTGACTGGATTAATTTAGAATGTTTCTTCAAGTGTTCCTGACACATGGGAAAAGGCCTATTTTTTTAAAATATTACATTGTTAACTATATGTTTATATAATATTCCAAAATGCCCCACCAAATGAGCTAGAAGCAAACAATAAAGATGAACACTAGTCTTATACCAAATTTGAAAATAGTATTGTTTAAAAAATTTTTTACTTACTATTATTTTTTTAATAGTGAAAGGGAGGGTAGAGAGAGATGGAGAGAGAGAGACCCTGACCCGGGATCAGACCCGCAACCTTGGCGTATTGGAACTATGCTCTAATCAGCTGAGTTACTTAGCCAGGGCCTGAAAACAGTATTGATTATATATTATTGAACTATTTTTAAAACTGACTTTCATAAACTATAGATTTCAAAAGAAACAAAATATTTTTATCCTTGCCAAAAATTTAAATTTGCAAAAAGAATGCTATATGCTGAAGGTACAGTTTATAGTATCAGGACAAAGGTTAGTGTATATTGGTCTCCAACTGAAATGGAAAAGTCACTTGAATAGAAAAGGCTTTTAAATTAATCTGGATCCTCAAAACAATGTTTCAGGAAGTTACGCTACTAAAAACAGTGTGTGAAACTGCCACTCAACCTCAAACAGCCCTTTACCATATACACTTGCTAATGGCTAAATGTATACCTTTGACATTGAAAAATTTTCTAAATAATATCACTTTTATTTCCATTTAATTTAGAAATCCTGAATTGAATCATGAAATTCTGAAGTTGATTCTTTTAGTATTCATTTGCTATTACATTAAACACTTCAACTGACATATATTTCTATGTACTTAATTTCATTTTCTTCAAGAGTTATATCTTGATAGATCATGCATGTTTATCATTTCATATATTTTAAACAGCATAAATTATTATCAAAAGCCAAAAAGTTAAGATTACCCATAATCTCACCTCCTATTAAGAAACTTTTTTTTTATCCTCACCCGAGGACATTTTTCCATTTTTTGTTCAGGTAGAGTGGGAGGGAGAGAGAGGAAGAGAGAGAGAGAGAGAGAGAGAGAGAAACATCGACGTGAAAGGAACACATCGAGCGGCTGCCAACTGACCAGGGCTGGGGACAAACTGCAACCGAGGTACACGCCCTTAGCGGGAACCGAACCCGGGTCTCTCAGGACCGCAGGCCGATGCTCTAACCGCTGAGCCAAACCGGCCAGGGCAAGAAACTATTTTGATTGTTCAGTATTCTAATCTAATCCTAATCATTTGCATGTGTAATTTTTAAATTACGTGTCGATGTTACATAAATACAACTTTGCTTTCTGTTTTTTATCTACTTATAAGCATTTTCATAATGTTTATAATTATCATTTTTAATGACTACAAGGTAATTCTATCAACATTATGCACTGTATTACCTATTTTCCCATTGACAGTTTTTTTTTAAATCTTTATTGTTGAATGTAAAATGTATTACAGATGTTCCACATTTTTCCCCCATTGACCCCCTCCTCCCCACTCCTTGCCCCCCACCCGCCTTTTCCCACACTATTGTCTGTGTCCATTGGTTATACATATAAGTTCTTTGGTTTATTTCTTCCCAACCCCTTTCCCTTTGAGGTTTGTCAGTCTAGCAATAAATTTGTACTTAATCCCTTCACCTTTTTCACCCATTCCCCCAACCCCCCTCCCAACTGGCAACCAAGAAAATGTTCTCTGTATCTATGAGAATGTTTCTGTTCTACCTGTTCATTTTGTTTGTAGATTCCATTGTTGATAGATATGTATTCATTGCCATTTTGTTTGTTCATATATTTTATCTTTTTCTTCAAAAAGACCCTTCATCATTTCATATAATAACGGTTTGATGGTGATGAACTCCTTTAAATTTTTCTTGTCTGGGAAAGTCTTTATATGACCATCGATTCTAAATGACAGCTTTGCAAGATAGAGTAATCTTGGTTGTTCTTGCTTTTCATCACTCTGAATATTTCTTGCCACTCCCTTCTGGCCTGTAAAGTTTCTTTTGAGAAATCAGCTGACAGCCTTATGGGAACTCCCTTGTAGGTAACTAGCTGCCTTTCTCTTGCTGCTTTTAGGATTCTCTCTTTGTCTTGAACCTTTTGCATTTTGATGATGATGTGTCTTGGTGTGTGCCTCTTGGGGTTCATCTTGTTTGGGACTCTCTGTGCTTCATGGACTTTTATGTCTGTTTCCTTCACCAAGTTAGGAAAGTTTTCTGCCATTATTGATCAAACAGGTTTTTGATTTCTTGTTCTCCCTCTTCTTCTGGCACCCCCAAAATGCGAATGTTGGCACGCTTGAAGTTGGCCCAGAGGCTTCTTACACTATCCTCATTTTTTTGGATTCTTTTTTCTTTTTGCTGTTCTGATTGGGCATTTTTTGCTTCCTTATATTCCAAATCAATGGTTTGCTCCTTGGATTTATGTACTCTACTATTGAAGCTGTGTAAATTATTCTTTATTTCAGTTAATGCCTCCTTCAATTCTGACCGTGCATCCATGATTTCTGACTGGTCCGTTTTTATGCTCTTGAGGCCCTCACTAAGTTCACTGAGGTTCTCACTAAGTTCATTGAGCATCCTTATAAGCAGTATTTTGAACTCAGCATCTGTTAGGTTGCTTATCTCCATTTCGCTTAGTTCTTTTTTGGGGGTTTTGTTCTGTTCTTTCATTTGGGACCTGTTTCTTTGTCTCCTCATTTTGGCTGCCTCCCTATGTTTGTTTCAGTGTATTACTTAACGAGAGGTATGGGGCTAGCTGAGACCAGATGCTGCTCGTTGGAAAGAATTTAGGAAAAACCTGAAGCAGGATCCAAGACAGGCCAATCCTATGGTTAAGCAAGTGGCAACAGCTTGGGTGGGCCTGAAAGTTGGGTGGGCCTGAAAGTTGGGTGGGGCGGGGTGGGGCCTCAGGGAGTCAGCAGGGCGGGGCTACCAGTGTGAGCCAGGTTGCTGGAGTCCCAGATATGGCTTCTGTCTGCCGCCCCAGGGAAGGGCTCACCAAAGGAACAAAGGCCTCTGACAGCCCATTTGCCCCGGAGAAAGCCCCGTCTCCAGCCTTCGCTCCAGTGCCAAACAGCTCAGTTCTTCCCTGTATGTCTCTGGTGCCCCTTGAGCTGCCTCCTCTCCAAGCTTAGAGGGAGAGAGTCCGATAAGTCTGTGCGCGGGCCCTTTAAGGAGCTGCCTGGGGCTCCAGCCGCTTCAGCATCCCTGAGCCTCAGTTCCCGCTGGTTTTTCCAGCCTGAAGTTATGGGGACTTCTCTTCCTGGCACTGGAACCCTGAGCGGGGCACCTGGTGTGGGATGGGGACCCCTCAGTCCTCAGGAAGAACCTTCCCAGCCGCAGGAGCCTCCTGATTTTTATCCGCCACACGTGGGTGTGGGACCAGCCCATCCGCTTCTGCCCCTCCTACCAGTCTGGATGTGGCTGCTGCTTTAATTCCGTAGTTGTAGGACTTCCATTCAGCTTGATTTCAGGCGGTTTTGAATGATGGTTGTTCTGTAGTTTAGTTGTAACTTTGATGTGGTTGTGGGAGGACGAGATACTGCGTTTACCTACCCGCCATCTTGACCGGAAGTCCCATTGACAGTTTTTTTAAAATAGTTCAGCGCTAACTGAAGCTTGGTATAGTCATTTAACAGAACATACTATGGTAATTATAAATATTATATATCAGCATTTAAAAATGCCTGTAAGTGAACAAATTAAAATAATGTATCACTACTAAAATTACAACTCCAAAAAGCATGTATGCCTTTATGGAAGGGCTAGAAAGAATTCTAGAAAATAAGCACTGATATGGGAGATAGAAATCTTCTTTACTTTTTATTTTAACTGCTATTGCTGTTATAATATCAGCCTGGAACATCACAGGCATTCAATAAGTATTTTTTTAAAAGAAGGAAAAATAATGATTAAAGAAAAACTCACTCACCATCCTGAGGCCTTGAGTGGGTAAGTGTATGTATGAAAGAAGTAGAGAAAGAAATCAACATCATTCTACTGGGAAATTTATTTCTGAAGTATCTGAAGATCTTTTGTTCAACTCTAGCTTTAAAAGCCAGCAAAATTTGCCCTGGCCAGTTTAGCTCAGCGGTTAAAGCATCGGCCTGCAGCCCAGAGAGATCCGGGTTTGGTTCCCGCTAAGGGCATGTACCTCGGTTGCAGTTTGTCCCCGGCCTTGGCTGGGTTGTGCGGGTGACAGCCACTCGATGTGTCCCTTTCACGTCGATGTTTCTCTCTCTCTCTTCCTCTCTCTTCCTCCCACTCTATCTGAACAAAAAATGGAAAAATGTCCTCAGGTGAGGATAAAAAAATAAGCAAATAAAAATAAAAGCAGGCAAAATTTTAAACATTAATCCCCCAGATGTGCTGGCAACTACCTCCAAAATATTATCCTTCCCAAACTCATGGCAGATGACTGAAGCTCTCCCTCTATATGTTCTGTTCATAGGTTAAATATTAAAATGAGAACTTCCTTGGGATGAGTAACACATTAAGTTTTATCATTCACTTAAGCATTCTAATGAATGAGTTTATTAGATCCTTTTTAGAAAGCTACTTCATTCCTTCCTCCATTCTTTCATTAACCTTTCACAAGACACTTGGGAGAGCAATGAAGATAATTTTCTCAACTTTGCCCAAGACCAGCTTTATTACTGACTATTAAATTATAAATAGGCCTGGCCAGTGTGGATAGAGCATCAGTCTGCACACCACAGGGTCTGGAGTTCAATTCCTGGTCAAGGGCATGTACCTAGGTTGCAGCTTCAATCCCCAGCCCCAGTCAGGGCACATTCGGGAGGCAACCAATTGATATGTCTCTGTCACATCCATGTTTCTGTTTCTCTCTCTCTCTCCCTCTCCCTCCCCTTCCACTCTCTACATCAATGGAAAAAATATCCCTGGGGTGAGGATTAACAACAAAATTAAAAATAGATCTTTTTTTTCTTTATTGATTTTAGAGAAAGAGGAAGGGGGAGGGAGAAACACTGATGAGAGAGAACATCGATTGGCTGTCTCCTGCATGCCCCTCATTGGGGATTTGGCCCACATCCTGGGCAGGTACCCTGACCAGGAATCGAACCAGCAACCTCTTGGTACATGGGTCGATGCTCAACCACTGAACCACACAAGGCGGGCTATAAATAGGTTTTTGTTTTAAAAAGAAATATAAATAGAAAAATAAATAGTATGTGTGTTTATAGAAATACTTATTTTGACTGTTAAGAGATTATAGCAGAAAAATGGCAGCTATATCATAGCTAGTTCTTCAATGTTAGAAATTATCCTTTGATGAAGATAACAACTAATTAATTTAAATCCACCTCTTAGAGAAATAAATCTGTATATTGTAAAGTGTGAGATATTGACATGTTGAAAGGATGCAAACTTATGGAGAAGATAATAGGGGAAAAATACAATTTTCATATAATACAGACATACCTGTCTTTCATTAACTGATAGAGGTTTTCTTTCATATACTCAAATATAAAATAAAGGTGGTCATTTTCTCTAATAACTTCTTTTAGTTTAATCACGTTGGCATGATTAAGTTTCTTCAGAGACTGCAACACAGCAAATAAGCATTAAAATTCTTACAGCAAAGTTAGAAAAGTTGGCAAAATCTCAGCAATACTAGGTATGATAATTATCTTAAATAATATTCCATTTCTTCTGAATTCATTAATGAATTATTTAAATATCTACAATATTTACATGTCTCAAAACATCTTAGAACACCTATTTAAAGTAAGCAATAAATTGTTTTAAGTAATGAATGTTAAGTGCAAAAATAAACCAAGTCAACAATAGCTACGAAACATTTCAATCTGTTGCTTTTTTTCTCAGTCTACTAAGTAGGTCTATCTTTGTTCTGACTTAACCATGTGAAATCCCATGCAAAAGTCTCCAAAAAGTTATCCAAGTCATAGAGCATAAAACATAAAGAAATGGTATGTAGTAATTTAAAAAGTTGTCTTTCCTTTGATAATATGTTAAAATGCTCTTATTTTTTTATTATTTTTTTAAAAATATTTTTTCTTTATTGATTTTAGAGAGAGAGGAAGGGAGAGGGAGAGACAGAAACATCGATGAGAGAGATGGATTGGCCGCCTCCTGCATGCCCCCACTGGGCATTGGGCCCACAACCTGGGCATGTGCCCTGACCTGAAAATGAACTGGCAACCTTTTGGTGCATGGGTCAATGCCCAACCACTGAGCCACACCAGCTGGGCTAAAATGCTCTTTTAAAAATGAGAGTAGTCCTGGCCCACTGTGGCTCGGTTGCTGTTTCAATTTCTGCAGGGTATGTGCCCAAGTTGAGGGTTCAATCCCTGATTGGGGTATATACGAGAGGCAATCGATTGATGTTTCTCTCTCACATCAATGTTTCTCTCTCACATCAATGTTCCCTTTCTCTCTCTAAAAAATCAATAAAAACATATTTTTTAAAAAGTGAGAGTAAAAAAATAAAAACATTTTTTTAAAAAGTGAGAGTGTACTCTCAAATATGAGGGTATAGTCATTATTCTCTGTTCTCCAATGGTATTCTGATGAGAAATGAGAAATTACTTTAGGAAGATAATGGGAAAAGTAAGAAAAAGAATTATCTTTGTACTGCTTCCTACAGAGAAAATAATCTCCTCAGAAATGAGATAGGTGTGAAGTAGAGTTAAGGCCTTCTCCATTTCTTTCATCTCTAGAATTTTACCTTAACTTCTCTCAAATTCATACATTCATCCCAAGAATAGAACTTTCTCTTCATCCTGAAATTGAAAAAGGACAAGTTCAGTGTACAGGGACTGAGGATTTGAAAGCAAGAATTACACCACTGGCTTTCCTACTCTGTTATTAGCTCACTCTGGGCGCATTCTGATGGCTCTCTTCCCTCCTCCTTAAAAGCAAATCGCCTCCTTTCTATAAATCTCAAGACTATTTGGTACAAGTTCACAACTAGGTCATATCTGAAACTCTGCTTTAACACAAAAGTAAAAAATTCATCATTAATCTTCTCTTCTGGATGAATTCTAACATTTCTCTAATCAGTTTTACTGTGCTTTTCTACAAGGGCTCCTTCCAAATGCCCCCTCTCTTTCTAGAATTTAAAAGCTAAATATGAAATACTATAATTAGGTGGAGTGGGGAAAGAAATGATAAATTTTGGTAGCAAATTTAGTAAAATGTTTTGTCTGACAACTTATATATCGTTACCTCAACTTGAAACAAGAGGCCCATAAAGTAATTTATTGAAATCAGCAGTAATTCAGAAGTAAACAAACTTTAGAAATAGCTTTCTTGAATTCTGTTCTTTACTTCCCTTCTTCCATGCTAATGCTGGATACCATTAGAAATAAATATGTAAAAAATGAATTTAGGGTAATAAAGTAATTCCACTATATGTGTCATAAGTAGAGATTATATTATTTATATGAATGGATTTTTAATCACCATGTAAAATGGAAGACAAGAAAAAAAAGGATTCATGTGTTTTTGTTTAAATTTTCAAAAATATTTTTTATTGATTTTTTTGAGAGAGAGAGGAAGGAAGAGAAACATTGATGTGAGAGAGAAACATCAGTAGGTTACCTCTTGAACACCCCCTACTGGGGATCGAGCCCACAACCCAGGCATGTGCCCTGACCCAGAATCAAACCAGGACCTCTCATTCTATGGGATGACACTCAACCCACTGAGCCACACCAGCTGGGCAGGATTCATGTTCTAAAAAAATGTTTCTTCGGGTATAAAAATTACAAGGCTGGATTATGAAAACTAAAAACCCTATATGCCCTACTGATTTTATTTAATTAATTTCCTACTGAGATGTTCTATAAGATTCTCAGGAAGCTTAAAGTTATCCTTGTTTATTAATCTAATTCCTATAGGAATTAATCTGAACCTCTACGAAAGTATAATACATAGGGGTAAGGAAATAAGGAAAGGAAAGACAGCATAAAGATTAGCAACACAACATGGTAGTCAAGAATGTAGCTGTGGTCCTGACCAGTGTGGCTCAGTTGGTTGGAGTGTTGTCTCATGCATCAAAAGGTCAAGAGTTCCCTTCCCGGTCAGGGCATATACCTAGGTTCCAGGTTTGATCCCTGATCCCCAATGGGGGTGCATATGGGAGGCAACCAATCAATGTTTCTCTCTCACATGAAGGTTTTTCTCACTCTGTCTCTCTCTGTAGTAAATATGTCCTCAAGTGAGGATTTAAAAAAAAAGGATGCAGCTGTGGAACTGCACTGCCTGGATTCAAATCCTCGCTCAGCAGCTCTCTCATTACACGGTCCTGGATGAACTACTTAATGACCTCTCTGTGCCTCAAATTCCTTAGCTATAAAGTAGAAACTAATGCTTGAGAAAAGCTTGTTTACTGCTTAGTTCAGCGCTCAATAAATACTCTATGTACCGAACTCTATGATCGTCTACAATAAGACACGTATTCTCAAGCAAACGAAGGAAAAGAGAGATCAGCTTCAAAGGTAAGTTGTGCAGTGTGGTATACGGTACCTTTTGATGGCCACCAGCTCCCCAGATTCATTACTCTTGCCCATCAGCACACTCCCATAGGTGCCATCTCCCAGCTGTCGCATGGTTGTATACCGGTTCATCTTGGAAAAATAATGCAGCAGAAATCATTGATTGCAATGGTTTCTTTGTTGAATATAAATTTAAATGTGTTATTTTAATTTGTTTTTGCTGTTAGACTGTCGCTGCTACACTGGTGACAGGTTGTCATCATTAAACATAGGCTCTTCCCCAAGATTATGTAGGTTCATGAGCTACAGCAATAAGGAATCTGGCACGGAAACAGTACATCCATTCTTATGTACACTCTATAAAAAGTAAGAATACAAGAAATTTTCACTGAAGGATCTCTTCGGCCCTGGCCAGTTTGCTCAGTGGTTAGAGTATCAGCCAATGGACCAACGAGTCTCGTGTTTGATTCCAGTCAAGGGCACGAACCTTGGTTGTGGTTTGGTCTCTGGCCCTGGTCAGGGTTATGTGGGAGGTAACCAGTTCAAGTGTCTCTCTCACATCAATGTTTCTCTCTCTCTCCCTTTCTCTCCCTCCCACTCTATCGGAAGATAAATGGAAAAAAATATATCCTCAGGTGAGGAATTTAAAAAAAAAAGAATCTCTTCAAAAAATTTACTGGTAATCTACAGCACAGGGAAAAATTATAAATAATATCAATACCAATGTGTTAAACATTCGTCAGTACATCATCTGTGCTTTTTGGAAGGAAATTCACGTATAACAGAATAATACTCATTTGGTGAATGTTTCATTTGCATGGTACTGTGCTACTTATCCCATAAATGTTCAATAAACATCAGCTTAGTGATATGTATGATTCCTTTGTTATTGAATATAATCTGTATTATCCCAAATGAGACCATGGAAAATCAGACATCTACTACATCAATCCTTGGAATCAATTTCAGCAACATATTTAATTTGAGCCACAATCCCTTATGTGAAACTCCTAGGCCAGATCTGTTTGGAATCTGGGAATTTCCATGTTTTAGAAAAGTAGTATGGTGCATATACCATATGACTTCCATTAGCCTCTTAATGTACCTACAGAAAAATGTACAAAAAGTACACTAAGTAAAATAAATAAAGACTATGAATGGCCTCACGGAACCACTCAGGTTCTATTTTGTTGTAAATTAGTTTGCACAAATTTATTTTTAAAATTTCATCTTTCAGAGCTTTGTGGATTTCAAAATTACAAATAAGGGGTTGTGGATCTGTACATATTTGAGGGGTACAGGTTTCAGTAGGTTCTGATTTTATTACTATGATTACAGAAAAACAAAGCACTAGCCTTAGCATGTACTTCATTACAACATGGGTTTCTTCCCATTGTTCTGTCTTAGAACACTTCAAGAAACTATTTCTCAATTCACACCTATTTTTCATTTTTATTTTCATTTTAAAAGTCTCTATTGTGCTTAGAATGTTTAGCACCATTAAAATAAACAGTATGGTTTATTTTTAATTTTATTAAAAAAAATTTTTTTTTTCTTTATTGATTTTAGAGAGAGCGGAAGGGAGATAGAAACATCGATGAGAGAGGACATCAATGGCCGCCTCCTGCATGTTCCCCACTGGGGATCGGGCCCACAACCTGGGCATATGCCTTGACCAGAAATCGAACTGGCGACCTCTTGGTGCCCGGGTCGATGCTCAACCACTGAGCCACACCGGCAAGGCTAAACAGTGTGTTGGTTTTTTTTGTTTTTGTTTTTTTTATCCTCATCCAGGACATTTTTCCGTTTTTAGTTCAGATAGAGTGGGAGGGAGAGAGACAGAGAGAGAAAAACATCAACGTGAAAGGGAAACATCGAGTGGCTGCCACCCGTACAGCCCAACCAGGGCTGGGGACAAACTGCAACCAAGGTACATGCCCTTCGTGGGAACCGAACCCGGGTCTCTCTAGACCACAGGCCAATGCTCTAACTGCTGAGCCAAACTGGCCAGGGCAACAGTGTGTTGTTTTAAACTGCCTTTCATAATTTGGTACTTCATTCAAAGGCTATTTTCCTTTCAGCTGTAACAGTTTCATGTCATCAAAATCAAAACAAATCATAGAAATTGCTTTTCTATTACACGCATAAATTTAGGAGCAACAGGGATGTGATGTACTTGTTAAAGTAACTAAGACTTCCAACTACAGGGTTCCTGGAGAAAGAACAAGTGTAGACAATACAGTAAAACTATGTTGTTTCCTATATTCAGGAATGTATTTGTCCACAGGAAACTTTGGAAGAACCCTGGAATGTTTCAATAAATGGAGTGTGTATTAATTTATCATTTATTTTACTTCAGATAATAACCTCTCCAAAGCCACAAGGGAAGTAATCTAGGTTATGCTAACTCTGTGGCCAAGATCTTGACAAAGAGATCACGAGAGTGGTTTCCAGTTCTATTAGAGGTTCCTTCATTTTTCTCAGCTTATGTCTGAGCTAATGGTTTTATCAAATGCCAGCACATGGTTCCCTATTTATGTAGTTTTTTTGCAAGTGGCCTTTACATTATACATAGATATTCTAAATATGAAGGTGTTAATATACAGAAAGGCAACATTCCTCTGCAGAGTACCTGACCAAACATATATTTGCTCTTACTAATTCTTCCTTTATCTGCATAAGGAAATATAATTTTTTTGTTGTTGTTAATCCTCACCTGAGGATATTTTTTCATTGATTTTTAGATAGAGTTGAAGGGAGGGAGAGAGAAAGAGGGAAATCAATGTGAGAGACACATCAATTGGTTGCCTCCGGAACAACCCTGACCGGGCCCAGGGATCGAACATGCAACGTAGGCATGTGCCCTTGACCGGAAATTGAACCTGAGACCCTTCAGTCCAAGGGGGGCGTTCTAACCACTGAGAAAAACCAGTTAGGGCAAGAAATATAATTCTGAAAGATCTCTTGGGTTGTTTTGTTCTATGTGCTATGATTAAACTATGAACTAAAATGTATTTCTTCTGATCATTTAGAATTGTATTAAGTCAGTATTTTGCAATTTACTCTCAACATGTTAAATTACTTGACATTCTTTTCTAGCTACCCTATTTAAGGTGATAAACACCTATTTCTTTTAAGGAAATGGTGTTCTCTATAGTTTTACTGTATAAATAACAATGCAGAGAACACATATGTCCAAAAGACCATTATGTCCACTATAGAGTAAAATCATAAAATAAACACACAAAAGGATTAAATAACCTATCTGTCAGAGAATCTAGGATGGAGTCAGTCTAAACTTGTATTAGCCTGAAGCTGTTTTGTTGTTGTTTTTTATTGTAGTCCCTAATTTCTAAACAACCCCAGAATGAAAGCTTCCCCACACCCCACACTTGAAGATTCCTAACCCAACTCCTCACCTTAAAACGCCAAGATGCTACTGACAAACTGGAAAGTACAGTGTTCCCTAATTAACAAAATCTGGGACTACATTTGGCTTATCCTATACCTGAGGGACATTGTAAAAACAATAGGCCGGAGACATTGAGAGGAAAGAAAATGTGAGTAAGGGAGAAAGGTGTCTACCTTTAGCTCCCCTCATGAAAACGTTATTTTTTACCTTATCCTGAAAATTATTTAAGACATTTAGTAGGATAATAGCATTGTCTTTCCTTTGCAAAGTTGTTTCATATGCAACCATTATTTTCACGTTACCACCATATGCCTTGGGAAGGTCATTTAAGAAGGAGCTGCCCAGGTGGGAACAGAAGTTCAGAGGGGAGTGTGCCAGAAACAGCGGTCAAAACTTCACCTTACAGTGATTAACAACCTGTAAAAGTGGAATTAATTGCCTTTTTCTCTTCCATATTAAGACCATGAACCACCATCACCAGTACTATTAACACAACAGATCATTCAGTCACTGATGACTTTCTGCATTTGGCCTCAAAGCCCAAACAGTTTTAAAGTGGCTATGGGAAACTTCATTCCAAGCCTAGCCAACCAACCAAATACAAAGTTTGTTCCAAGCGAGAATGGCTACAGGGTAGGTATACTTATATTCAGGGAAGAATAAACAAGGGACATGGTCATTTCCCAGCTTCTTTAATTTGAGGGGCTGGAGTGGTGAAGATTATGGATATGACTCTACCTGACCTTTTAGTAAAATAAATTTACATATTATGCTCTCAAACAAAAACTTTGGAAAGGCCTCTTTTGAGTCATATTAATTATAAAATAAACAGCTTTCCAGGGTGAGATGCTGACCATTTCAGCTGTCCCCTTACAATGGCCTTATGTGAAGAGGCACAAATATAAGGGTTTTTAAAAAAATCATTATTCCCATGTACCTACTCACAGAAACAACTACTTTTATTAGTGTAGCACAGCAAGGTCCTAAACTGATTACTAGTCAAAAGCAGAATATGAAACATAGACTGCCTATGGGTCCCCAGATTATACACAATAGTATTTCTCTACATGCTACATATATTCTCTGTTGACCTATGGAAAGCTAATTCTGCAAAATAGGCATGTATTAGCATGATTTCTTATGTAGACGAATATTTCCATATTTATTTATTTCCATATACATGGAATAAGGCAAAACACAAGTACAGTATATATAACTATGATCCTCAATTAATTAACAGAACTGTTAGGAACTTGGAATTTGCTACAATCAAGCTAAAATATTTAGGTACTTTCCTATGGGTTAAACCACCTTATATTCTGATCTAAAGAAAAAAACATTTATTTAGAGCAGGGGTAGGGAACGTCATGCCCACAAAATCAATACCAGCTAACATCACAGCCTCACCAAATTAACCTGCCCAAATATAACAGGCTAATTTTTAAGTTGATAATGCTGTATGGCTGGAGAAAGATGTTATAAATATCCAAATGGCCCTTGGAAGAATAAAGTTTCCCCACCCCTGATTTAGAGGCTTAATTATAGACCTGCATTAAATAAATACCCATATAACTTCTCTCCCACTCGAGTCTTCATATTTTTATCTAAATGCACAATTACTGTGAACTTGAGCTTTATTCTCAACAGCTTCTGCCAGTTAAGTAGGGGTTTAGATAGGATTAAAGAGATTAACATAGAGGGCAAAGGGAGAGTGAGTCGGCCAGTCACCGAACAGATGCCCTTTGGATGTCTCCAACTTGTCTTTGAAGAACCTACTGTAATATCTACCACTTACTCCAAGGTTGGCATTAACGTTTTTCTTGTTTTGTTTTGTTTTTAAAATAACATCGTAAAAATCACTAAGTTGTTGAAAAAGCCAAACAGAAAAATGATTTCAAACGAAATCATGTTGACAGAAATTAAAAGGGGAGCTTCTACAACGGGAAAACAAAGATTCCGTATTAAAATATAAAAGCATTAGTGCTTTGTGCTAATATTCACAAATCATTTTAAAACTAAAAACAAAAACCTCACCCCAACGAAGAGATCAAACATCCTTGCCCAAGTCCAGCCTCGCTTAGGCAGAAAGCGGCCGCCCTGCGAGAAAATACCTCCCCTCCCCACCACGCAGCTCAAAAGGCTGAAAAGTAACTTGCCTCCACCACTATTTTGACTCAGTAGGTTGTCTGATTCAAATAAGACTGAGAACTCTGGCTGTATGGAATTCCGTTATCATTAGAACAAATGTCTGCTCGTTAAGAAAAGGTGATCTAAACACAGTTACATAAATCTCTTTCCTTTCAGAATTGAGATTACAAACCCAAACACCAGTTTTGCTGGTGTTTTTGCTCCCCCCGCCTGCCAACCCGTCTTAATTGCAGTAAAGAAAAACTTTTCGTTACACCGACGCTCCGACCCCTTTTCTGCAAACCCGGGCCGTTAAAAAGACTTCCCTGTCCTTTTTTATTTTGTGGTTGTTCTGAACTCCATTCGCTGCCCTCCGGAGACCCGCCCCCGCCCGCCCCTCACTCCTAAAAGTACTTTGTTTCCCCTCCGGCCCCAGCAGTAGAGGGAGCGACAGGGAGGTGAGCATGAGGGACCCTGGGGAAGAGGTTCGGGGGCCGGGGCCACTCAGGTTATGGATGTCCCGCCGTCATCCTCCCACTCGGGACCAAAGCTCAGTGCCTAGGAGCGCAGGCAGGTGGCCGAGGGCGCCTCGGAGAGCGCGGAGCGCACCGCGCAGGCCGACCCCCTCCTGCCCGCTCCGCCCCGCCCCTCCCGGATCTCCTCCCCCCACCCCTCCCTCTACCAGTGTCGGGGCCCCTTCTCTCTTTGGAGGTTGGCCCTGGTAGGACTGGGCGTCGAGGGGACATGCCGGGCCGGCTTCGCACAACAGGCTCGGCCTGAGCAGGACGGAGGGTGGAGGCCCCGCAGCCGGCTCGTGATTATCTGCCCGCACCGGCCGCTTACCTCCTTTGCTCGGGTGTGAAGCTCCGGCGTCTTGTGTGTTTCATCTCCTAGGAAACGGCGGGTGTGCGCCAGCTCCTGCGCAGCCCTCCAGTTTACACCCGCCCACAGAGGGGCGTGGTCGAGCCGGACAAGCCCAGCCCCGTCGTGCAGACCGTGTCTCCCGGAGGGGCGGGACTTCCGGGAACACCTGTGCGTCTATTGAGCTCATTTAGATTCTGCCATTTAGATCTGTGCCGTTTAGATTTGGAGCTTGGCAGAGTCTTGATTACCTTTTCAGTTCTCTATAGAAAGTTGGTTGGTTTGCCCTTTATTTTGTTTGCTTTTGCTCCAATTCATTCTACCAAGTCTTGTTTGATTCACTAAATCTGGTTCCCAGACTTGGGAAGGGCAAGAGAAAAGCTTATGTTTGCTTCCTGCTTATATTTGTTTTCGCATATAGCATCTGGAGAAAAACTACTCTTGTATTTCCATTCCTTATAAGGGTCAATTCCTCAAGTATGTGTTATCTCTTAGGCCACACTTCTACAGTGTGTTTTCATTTATTCAGAGAAACTATTCAGTAGCAGTCACAGTGTTAGATGGTGGTAATTACCAGATGAATAAATGTGTGAAAAGATGAGTGAATAGTAACTAGCCTATTGTTTTGAAAATAATGCCAAGGTAGCAAGACAGATGCTCTTGGCCCTCTCACAGCTTGAAGTGACATAGGCAGGCACAGTAAAAGCATAAGTTAGATCATGGAGGTCTTAATGTACTGTTAGGAAGCCTAAGCCATACCGAGCGGCAATAGTGAACCACTGAAGAGTTTTCCACAGAGGACTGACATGTTCACATTTGCATTTTAGAAAGATCACGAGAGCAGCAGTGGGTAGGTGGGTTTGAGCAGTGATTCAGGAGGTAAGAGAAAGAAAAAGAGACTATTGTAATTTATCAAGAAGAAATGATGAGGATCCAACTATAGCAGTGATGATGAAATAGGCCAGAGAGGGACAGATTTCAAGGGATATTTAGGAGTTAATATGGCTTAGATGAGTGGTAGATAGTGGTATCCACAACTAAGTTGGAAAATATTGGAAGATGGGCAGATTTGAAGAGAGAGGGTGGGGGAGATAATAGGCCCAGTTTTGAAAATTTTGAGTTTGAGGAAAATTTAAATGAAGGTCACAAGAAGGCACTTTGAAGTATAGATTTGTGACTTGCAGTTATTTCAGAGCTGGAAATACAGATATATTGGAATACTGTGGATGAAGTCATGGGTGCGGATGAGATAAACTAAGAAGGAAAGAGGACTGGGATTCTGGAAAACTCCATCTTCTAAAGAATGGGAAAGAAAAATAGAGGTGAGGGAGAAAGAAAGGCTGATGAAGAAAATTCAGAAAAGCATGCCCTGGCTGGTTTGGCTCAGCAGTTAGAACGTCGCCTGCAGACCAGAGAGTACCGGGTTCAGTTCCCGCTAAGGGCACATACCTGGGTTGCAATTTGTCCCCGGCCCCAGTTGGGGTCGTGTGGGTGGCAACCAGTCAATGTGTCTCTCTCCCATCGATGTTTCTCTCTCTCTTCCTCCCTCTCTCCCTCCTGCTCTATCTCAAGATGAATGGAAAAATGTCCTTGGGTGAGGATAAAAAAAGAAAGAAAATTCAGAGAAGCAGTAGGAGAGCTCAAAAAAATATTTCAGCCCTGGCCAGTTTGGCTCAGCAGTTAGATCGTTGGCCCATGGTACAGAGAGACCCGGGTTTGGTTCCCACTAAGGGTATGTAGTTTGGTTGCACTTTGTCCCCACCTGGCTTGGGGTTGTGTAGGTGGTGGCCATTTGGTGTGTCTCTCTCACATCAATGTTTCTCTCTCTCTCTTTTCCTCTCTCTCTCCCTCTCGCTCTATCTGAAGATGAATGCAAAAATGTCCTCAGGTGAGGATAAAAAAAAAAATTCAGAATGAAAGAAGGTAGGTTGACCAAAAAAAAGGAAAAAAAAATCAAGAAATGAGGAAAACAAAAGGAGGACAGTATGACCTACTTGATCCTCTGAAGACCTCCTGCTTTGCAACAACTGGATCATGTGTGAAGCATAACTTTTAATGCATTGTTACAATAAGAAGAATAGAAAATCTCCAAACACTCCCAACTCCTTCTAAAAAGCACCTGATACTCCAGCAGGAGCAGTATACAAATATGAAAAGCAAAGCTGGTCCAAAAGCAAATTCAACTTAAGTACAGCAACACAAATACTAAGCCCTGGACCGATGGCAATGAGGCTGAGCTGAACCAGAGGCTAGAAAATTAAGCAGGGAGTCTGGGAAGGGGCCAAAGTGGTCCCAGGCCAGTAGAACCATCTGAATCCCAGAAGAAACAAACAGAAATCATTTTTGAAGATGCATCCTCAGTTTAGTTCTCCAGAAAATATGAGCTTATGACCACATGACAAATGAACCCCTTTAAGTGAGAATTAGCAGAAAAAGCAACAATATGTTCAGACTTTTAAGGATTTCAGAAATTGGAAATATTAACTTGAATATAAAATAACTATGTTTGAAAAGCATACAGAATCACACAAAGTTGACTAAGAATAGTAGAAAAATAATTAAACTGTTAAAAAATAAACATCAAAATTATTAATATTTTTTAAAGAAAGAGTTAAATAGCTTATTAGAACCAAAGAGCGAACCCTGGCCAGTATGGCTCAGCAGTTAGAGCACTGGCGCATGGACTGAAGAGTTGCCAGTTTGATTTCTGGTCAAGGGCACCTACCTGGGATGACACTCCAACCAACTGAGTCACCAGCCAAGGCTGAAATGCAAGTCTTGGATGGAACCTCTGATAACAGAACTCACTACCTCCTCTAATCTCAATTTGGGATGATTCTTATTGTTTACATCACCCATTTATTGAATGGTAACATGTTACTTTGTAGTTCCTGACCATTACTCTGAATTTTACCCTGTATAATCTGCGGTGGACCTGTTTTTGCCTTTCCAGCATTTACTCCTCCCTGTCAGGTATCCCCCAAGTTTTCCTTTGGGAAGACACCCCTGACCCATTTGTCTTTGTGGTTCAGCTTTAGGGATGGACATGTGAGCTACTCAGTCTCAGTGGCTGCCTTAGATAGATGGCCACATGATTCTGAGATACTGGGAAAAAGACGTTCCCTTTCTGTTAAAGAAACTTAGTAAAATGAGGGCCCAGGGCAGCTGAGTGCCACCTTTGCTGCACATCTTTGCTGAGAATGAACACAGAAGAATGCAGGGCTGAGAGGGAACGACATCATTCAGGATGACAGCATTTGAGCACCTGCGTTGAGTCGTGCCTGAATCTTCTCTTGGTCTTTTCAACTGCAAGAGTCAGAAAATTCCTCCGGGTGCTTAGTCATGTGATATTCCTTCCCACTTAATTGAAAGTGTTCCTGATTTATACAGGACATACTTTTCTCCCACATGGTACCTGGTCCAGTATATTTTAAGTTAGCTGTCCTGTCTCTCCATGCCTTCACCTGGCACCCCAGAATTGCAGGGTGAAGGGCCATCCAGGCAGCCCAGCTCCGACATTTAATTGCCGCCTCAGTCTCCGTGCCATGACATTCAGTGAATGCCTGAGGGTCAGCACATTTTGGGTTCGATACATCCTTTTTACTATGCTGCCCTCTTTTACTTTTTTCTCACCTCTCAACTCTGATCCAGCTAGCCTCAAATGATGTGTTTGTGTGTTATTTCTCCTCCTTAGGATTTAAATTATTTCCTAAAGACATGTATCAACTATATAAGCTACTGATCAAATTTTAACTTTGAACAAGTTTTACATGGTCATAATTTTAAGAGTACGACTTTTTTTCTCACAGCATGTATTACCTTTTAATATTCTATATAATTAAGTATTCATTTTATTTATCATTTATTTCCCCCTACATCCCCACAATGTTATAATCTTCACAGGGGAGGGATTTTATGTGATTTGTTCATTGTTGTCTCAGTAACATGCAGAGTGCCTGGCACATAGTAGGTACTCAATAAACATTTGTAGGATGAATGATACAGATTCTGCCCTCTAGCAGTTCATGTTCTAGGACAGGAATTTGCATTTTACAGTCTGGTAGGGGTTATGTTTTTTAGGCTTGATTCAATTTGTTTTTATAGAGATATTCTTAACAAATTATGTCTTGGATTTGTTTTTCTCGGCCACTGCTTTGCAGTAGAAGCATTTAAACTTTTATTTTATTTTTTAATTAATTAATTTTTGTTACAAATGTTTCTCCTTTTCCCCCACACTGATTCCTTCCTCCCCTACCCTCCCCACCCTGTCCCCAGCTTTGTTGTCCATGTCCATTGTTCATGCACACATGCATATAAGTTCTATGGTTTATCTCTCCCCCACTACCCCCTCTTCTGGGGATTGTCATTCTGTACCCCACTTCCACGTCTCTGGGACTACCCCATTCCTCAGACTGTTATGTTCATTATATTCCACAAATAAGTGAGATCATATGATACTTGTCTTTTTCTGTTTGGCTTGTTTTGCTTAGGATAATACTTTCCAGGTCCCTCCATGTCGTCTCAAAGGATAAGAGATCTTTCTTAGATCTCTTAAAATCTAAGCGTAGTACTCCATTGTGTATATGTACCACAACTTTTTTATCCATTCGTCTACTGATAGACACTTGGGCTGTTTCCAGATTTTAGCTATTGTAAATAGTGCTGCTATGAACATGGGGGTACATATATTCTTTCTGATTGGCGTTTCAGGCTTCTTAGGGTATATTCCTAGAAGTGGGATCACTGGGTCACATGGAAGTTCAATTTTTAATTTTTTGAGGTAACACCATAATGTTTTCCATAGTGGCTGCATCAATCGGCATTCCCACCAGCAGTATACTAGAGTCCCCTTTTCTCCACACCCTCGCCAACACTTGTTTGATGATTTGTTAATGGCGGCCATTCTAACAGGTGTGAGGTGATACCTCATTGTTGTTTTAATGTGCATCTCTCTGATGATTAGTGATGTTGAGCATTTCTTCATATGTCTCTTGGTCATTTGTATGTCCTGTTTGGAGAGGTGTCTATTTAGTTCCTCTGACCATTTT